AGGAAGGGCCCGAAGACTTCACCGGGGTGGGGTGGCTCACGGGCTCGATCTTCGCCTTGAAGTGGTGAGAGTCAGAGCTCATATGACAGTTGAAGTTTGAATAAAAAAAGATCTCTAGGATGTGCTCTCACTCCCAGCGCCTTGGCCTCCGTGTCGGTGTCCTTGGCCTTGGCCTTCAAGGCCTTCAGCTCCTCAACCAGCTCCTGCCAGGAGAAAAGAGGCCAAGAAACAAAGGGGGACCTTCTGGGGCGGTCGGAGGTCGGAGGCTCCTGGTTCCTTTTCTCTGCACCGGCGAGGCGGGTCCTCAGCGCCTGAACGCCATCAAAAGAAGGCCCCCGAGCCCGGGCCCTTCGTCCCCTTTGGTGGGTTCCCACTCCGCGCCTGGATCTCTTTCTCGGGGCCTTGGCCCTGGCTTTGGCCGGGGCGGCGCTCCGCTTGCAATGCCACCAGCTTGGACATGGCGGCCCTAAGAAAGGCTGCCAAATAAGCACACCCTGCCACAGGCCTACCAGTCCTAGAGCCTTTAGAGCGAGTCTGCCAGGAGACTCGCAAAAGCGTGCTTCCAAGAGGCTCCGCCCGCTGCTCGGAAGCCTTGGCCTCGCCTCTGCTCAGAGAGAGAGAGAGGCAGGAAAGCCAGAAGACAGGAAACGCAGGCAAGAACGCCAGGGAGGGAACAGGAGAAAAACCTCTGAACACCTCTGAAAAACACCTCTGGAAGTGCCCCAGAAGAGGAGTTCTCCCCGCCCTTTTTTCCCGGCCTTTGGCCTTCTCCAAGTCCTGAGATCCGAGAGGGTCCATAATGGGTTTAGGGTTTAGGGTTTAGGCTTAGTTAGGGCCTATAGATTCGGGCTTAGAAGGGCTAGGGGCTTGTTTTAGAGAGCTTTGCTTAGGGTTCTATATGGGTGGTTGTCAAAATTATGGTCCCCTTTTTGGGTCCCTAATATAATACGGCACCCATTATTTAGGGCACCCCAAATAAGGTACCCTAATTTTGACAACTACCCAAAAAGGTTAAACCTACCTTTTTAGGGACTTATATAAAGAAATCATAATAAGGAACCCTAAAAATGTGGGTTATTTGGGGTCCAGGTAGGGTTTAGTTAGGTTGTGAGAGGACACCGCTCCGCTCCCCGCTCCTGCTGAAGGTCGTTGACCTTGCGCCGCAGCTCCCCCGCCTCCACCGCTGCTTTGGCGATGGCCTCCATGGAGATACGGACACGTCGTGTCTTTTCTGGCATTTAGGGTTTATAGGGTTTATAGGGTTTAGGGGTTTAGGGGTTTAGGGTTTATGCATTTAGGGCCACGAGGCGTTCTACGGTATAGGGCTAATTGGGGTAAGAAGGGTCAGAGGGAGGCGACACCGAGGCCAGCGGCCTCAGTGAAGGAGGTTTGGGCCTTGCTCAGCTCCTCCGAAGCAGGCAAAGCAGAGCCGAAGGTCAAGGGCCAATTGCACCCGGTGCATTTCCGTGCCTGCTGCGCTGCCTTGTGTGCCTGCTGGGCTTCCTCCTTGATCGCTGCCTTACAGAAGGGAAGGAAGCTGCTGAGAGCGCTCCACCTCTCGAGAGCTACATCTTCGGCCTCCAGCTGCGTCCGAAGGTCCTCACAAAGGGCCGGGGTTGAGGCGAGCACAGGTTCCAGTGCTTGCAGTATATCCGGCTCCTCCACCTTGGACTGGGCCTGAGCCGCCTCCTGCGACACTGCTCGTCAGGGACTTACCATCACACTGCTTCGTCTCATGCTAGGATACAGCTAGTAGTATAAGATGAACATGGTGGCATCGCGGCATCGCAGAGTGCTGCAGTGCTGCGCATGCTCTGGTGCGCTCCTTGGGTGCCATGTTGTGGATCTGAACACAGCGCAAGGGCACGGGGGCAGTGCGAAGTGAGCCCGGAGAGGGTCTCTTGAGCTGAGAGCCGTCACAGGCCAGGCTCAGGCGGTTAGAAGACCCCATCCCCACATCCCATCACTGACTGTAGAGAGTCTTAGCAACGCAAAGCCGAAGCCAAAGCCAAGTCAGGCTTTCAGGAGCCTTTTGGGTGAGGTCCAACTCCTTGAGCTCCCGAGCCTCAGATCTCTCAGAGACGTCGTTTCAAACGGCGAAAGGGGCCCGAGCAGCGAGCGCTGCCCTCCGCGATTCGGCGGCAGGCTCCCCGCAAGGCCTGCGCTGGCAACACCGCGCCACTGCTTCTTTTTTGGGGGGGACGGGGCGGTTGCAAGGGACATCCAAGCAAGGACCATCCAAGCCCCATGCCAGGAAGTCCCAGGGAGCCTCGCAGTCTGGCCGACGGGACGGGACGGGAAAAAAAACCCTCTTCGACTCTCTTTCGCCTGCGCTGCCTGCCAGCTGGACCAGGCCTGCATGGCTTTGCAAAAAGAAAAGGCGCGCCCAGCCGGGCGCAAGTCTCAACGGCGCCTTCACCCCCAGGAGTGAAGCAGAGATCGGCTGCAGCAGCTCCTGCGTGACAAGACTTGAAACGAGCGGAAGCTGTGACCAAACGCTTCCGGCCTCCGGTATCTGGCTCCACATCGGCTTGGCTCCTACAGCGCTCTCAGATCCCACCGCCAGGCTTCAACTTACGATGTGAGCCCCCCCCAAGCAAGGACTTGCAAAAGCCTCGCTCCAATTAAACGGTGTTCAAAGTGCTTCCCCGGCATGTGCTGGCCCGATCGGTGCGACGCAGGTGCACCAACACTGACAGACAATTTCTGTTCACTCCGAACGAGAGAACCAGCAGGGTGTACCACAAAGTCTGAGGAATGTAGAAATCTGAATCCTGTGCATAGACCGACATTTGACATAGTGCTCTTGTGCAGGACAAGAAGAGCGGCCTTGACCAATCTCTTACTCTCTCTCTCTATATATATATATATATATGTGTGTGTGTGTATATATATATATATATATGATAATACTAATTAATATATTCTTGTTATTATTTTTATATAAACGATATTGCTATAAGTCCTTGGACTGGACCCGGAACTTCTGCTCACTGGCACTTTTTGGGGCCGCAGACAGGGCCGAGGTTGCGGGAGCACAGCGCAGGGCACGCTGGATCACGGATAGAAGATGTGAGAAGCGTAAGATCCACCACGGAAGCAAACAGGAGCACTAGAAGTTTTTTCGCGGACTCTCTCGACATCACGTACTGACCACAGCATGCCCTGACAATGGCCGGCTCAGCGTGCCGAGAGTTGCGCCAGCTTGGGCCACCGCAGAGCGCACCTAATCAACGGCCACAGAACCTCGTCCTTTGCTTGTTCTAGTTTCTAGTGACTGCGCCAGCCTTGGGTCGATCTTTCCGAAGATTTTGCTGCCTGTGTCACAAAGCTCTGTGACCATCCCAACGTCAGGACAATCCTGGGATCCAGGCCAACTGGATTTCCCTCCTTGTCGACCTCACCATGCAAAGGAGTCAATCTTGATTATTTGTGGCTCTGCGTCTGTCCGTCCGTCGGTCTCTGTCTGTCCGTCTGTCTGTCTCTGTCTGTCAGGCTCAGCAACCCTCTCTCAGCATCCTGCTAGCACGCCGCAGTTCGTGTCGAAGGCGTGGCTGAAGCCGTTACCCAGCGGCTCCGGTGTGTTCTTGGTACGTCGGGCTTCAGCTTGGCACGGGCCGGGGTGCCGCTTCGGGACTTGGAGGAGTTAACGTTGACCACTCTGCCAAGCCTCTTGACAATCCCTATCATACAGCTTGAATCGAAGCTCTGGCTATGCGGCTTTGTCTAGAAAGCACGGGACCCTAACTAAGCCGTTGCAGCCCAACGGCCCTGCGCATGCGGGTGACGATCGCTCGAAGTACCTTGTTCTTGGGACCACCTGTTCGGCCAACCACAACGACCTCAACAGAAGAGCGCTCGCTGAGATGCATCCAGTCGTCGCGGCTCTTCTGAGGCTCCGGCCACATCTCCCGGCTCCACAGCTCGAACTTGTGGCTTGATACCCTTGCCCACCACGCTCATGATCTTCATCTTGTAGGCCTCAAAAAGTCTCAAACCCCTCTGGGCCGTATCACGGCAGGGCTTTTTGCAGGCCAAGGGACTCCGCTGTTGTCCTGGCACATCAGGACGAAGTCCTTCGATGGAAACAGCGATCCAAGCCTTCGGCAGGGCGTGCGAATGGAGACCGTCGCAAACAGGCAAAACAGTACGCACTTGGAGTTCCTATAGCTGATAAGCGCCCGACATGGCTACCAGCCCCAGGAGGAGGGCGGGCACCTTGCACCGCTGCAGAGAGAGAAGAAACTATAGGTAGCTCTCTGCCGGTGCACCATCACCAGCCGACGAGCCGCACTGCTCGTCTTGGGCCTCAGAAGGCAGCTTAGTCAGTGGCCTACGAATCATTTTCAAGAGCTGTCGCTTAGTCTCGGACGCCATGGCGCAGAAACCCGGATCCCACCTGACGGAGTCTCGAAGTCTCGGTATCTGAGACGCTACGAGTGACCCGAGCCGCCTGAAAGCGCCGGGGGGGGGCCGGGGGGTCCGGTCGCCAAGCTGAGCCAAATCCGGCTGTGGCAGACATCTCTCAAATCTCATTTTCCCTGGCATTTGCCGCCATGCCCGCCATGCCTTATGCCTTGTCTGACCTGTAAGAGGCTTAACTCCCCAGCAGAGTGCCACGGCCCTGTGTCCTTGCCGCAAGTTGCACGGCAGCAGAAGACTCTCGCGGCTCCTCCAAGTGTCACAAACCAGAGAAGCACATAAACATACATTCCGGAACGATTGACCCGCCTTCCATCGCTACAGCACCCGCTGCGCCAGCTGCAAAGTGGAGCAGACGGTGTGAGGATCTGGCTTTTTCCCTAAGTGGACAAGTTTGTCTGTCTGTTAGATTCCTGGCAGCTACAGGAGATGTGAGTTGCGGAAGCGACGGTTGAAGAGCGCATGCTGATGTTGAAGCTCCTCCCTGTTGTTAATTCCCTGAGCCGACACGAGTGAACTCGTCCGTTGCAAAGGGTAGCGGCCGTCTCAGTGATGAAAAGCCCCACGGCAAAAATCGCCTGTAGACCAGGAAGTCGTTCAGCAGCAGGACCGGTGCAACCACGGGCCCGTTGAGAAAGATCTGAAAGGCTCTGACGGACTGTTTGGCGATGTGCGCTGGCCCTTTCTCGTGGGACGAGTCTCAAGTTCAGAGCCTCCTGGCGTAGGTTGGCCACTCTGCAGACCGACGCCAGGCGCTTGGGCTCCTGAAGCGAGCCGGAAACACTTCGAGTAGAAAAACTCGTAGAGTGCCATCAGACGCTCGGCACTGAATTCCGGTCCCAACCGCTTCCCGAAGTTTGTGTTCGGGGGCCCGGGCCCGGGCACGGCCACGGCTCCTCCTCGCAGAGGGAGCAGGCGACGGAATCATCGGCCTCGGGCTCGAGGCTCGCGGAAGGCGCGGCGAGACAAAAAGGTCCGCGCAGTCGTGAACTGCGGCAGTGGTTGCAGTTGCAGTGTGGCTACCTGGCCTGGTAGGGAAAGCAAGGCTCGGAAACCAGTCCCTTATTCTTCAGGTAGCCGAAGACCTCGAGAGATCTCAGGCTCAGGGAGGCTTCTTCGAAGGGCCCAGGCCAGGGGCCCAGTCAAGGCTCTTCCTGGGGCGCCCTGGGGCGCCTCGCAGTGTCAAGGGCTCCACCCCCGCAACCTCTGCTGAGAGGCTCACACCTGCTCGCGACCGAGGCGAGGAACGGAAGCAACCACTAAAAAAGTGGGTTCCGATTCAAAGCTGGGCTCATAACGACAGGAGCTGCTGCGGGGACAGCCTCAACCTCAGAACTCCGGGCAGGCTGCAAACTTGATCGCTACTCGACGGAGAGGCCCACCCTCCGTAGTCCTTGGGGCTCGCGATGCAGAACCTGTCGAAGAGACTGTGTCGGAGTCGACGAGCCTGCGCACTCAAGAGAAACGCGCCTCTTGCTCAGGGCACCGGCCACGGCGATGGCCCAGCTGGCAGAGCCTACAGTAAGGCCATGCACGCGGAGCCCCGGCTTTCACGTCTTTCCTGAGCTCCCCTGCAGTTGCCCATGTCGTAGACGTGCGCGAAGCAAGCTGGCCACCTCAGTGCAAGGCAGCGAATTCCCGCTAAACAAGCACCAGACGGCCTGCTCTGCCACCGGCTTTTTCCGAGCATCAAAGCTCTTTGGCAACTCCACGGACGCCGGCAGCATGCAGTCGGGGATCCCATCTGAGGATCTCGGCTACACTGTGGCTCCACTCAGTGTGACTCAGAGCCAGGCTCGCTTGGGAGACGCTGATCCCGCCCAAGCGCTGCATCTCGCCAAGTCTCCAGCCCTTGCGACAGCATTCTGACAGAGCCTCCTGGACTCCTGCATGCCCCCAGGCCCAATTCTTGCCAAAACCGTACATATGCCACATCTTAGGGGAGAGAGTCAAGGGAGGACCCCCCGAACTCAATCCTTGGAAGCTCACCCTCTGCTGCACCTCGAAGAAGCGCGCTGCGCCCGCGCGCCAGGTCCGCGCCTCTTGGCAAGGTGCGCCGATAGGAAAGAAAGTGCCACAGGAAAGGCGGGAAAGGCGTGTACGATATATGCTTATACAGCTGCATCCATGCGTTGAAATACACGCGTGTGTTGAATTGTATATATATATATATACACATATGTAGACGCAGATGTGCATGTATGTGCGTGTATATATACACACAGATAATATGTGAATATTATATATATATATATATGTATATATGTAAGGGGAACTTGTCTGTACAATTTGACCCGTGGTCTTGTGTCGTCTCGTAATCCTTATTCCCTGTTCTTTAATCCTTATTACCTGATTCAAGCTTTAACAGTTCGAAAGCTTTCCAGTGAGTGAGAATGCTTGGCATAGTATAGCATGGCATACTATACTGCTTTCTTGTGCGAGTCTGCAACAGGTGAATCCTCGTTAGCTGCACTTGCAGGGTCCCATTTGTTAGCCTGCTTTTTGTTGCAGTTTCCGCTCCCCCCCCCCCTTTGGGCGCTTGCGTTGAGGTTCACGTGGTCGATGACGCTTTGGTCATTCACCTCAGAACTCGAGCCCGGCTTTGCCAAGAGGGGGCAAAAGGGTGCCTGGCCAGCGTCTCCAGCAGACCTCAGAGTCTGGGGCGGAAAGTCGGAAAGCCATGGGCCGTGAACTGCAGATCTCTGCACTCAGTGCATGACCCTGTTCTGGGCTGACCAGAACTGCTGCCTGGGTCGCAGGAGATACACCGACGAGTTTGCACGTGTGCCTCCGGGCCACGGCACAGGCAAAGAGGACGCTAAACGCCTCAGATAGGACGAGAGATCGAGCAGACCCAAGCTTTCTCTAACTTTGCATGAGGCCCCGGCCGTGCCCCCGAGCCAGATCCCATACTGCCATTGCCAATCCCTCGGTGAAGTGTCCACCGGCTTTCAGCGTATGCACAGCCCGCCGAGCCCCCCGGCTTCTTCTTGCCGCTCCGAGGGGGTCTCGGCGGTCCATCGACCTTCACCTTAACCGCAGCACGTAGCAGAGCGCTGAGACAGACATTCCTTGACAGCACACTATACGAGACCCTCCCAGAACGGTTCCGTCTGCGAAATAACGGAAGCGGTACGACACTGCTTGAAGCGTGTCCACGCTGTCACCACAACTGCTCTGGTCTATGCTCTGGTCGTGGGCCTCTTCTCACGTCGTCTCACGTGCTCCGTTCCTGGTCGTTCTTTCGTTGTGCTGCCATCACATAGACATCAGCATCGTCAAGCATCAGCACCCCTCATCCGTGTAAGGCAGACCGGAGATGACCCCACCTGGTGTGCAGCTCGTGGGCGCTCACCACTGGGACCCTTCGAGGCCCCGGCCATCCTTCCAGCTCCCTGTGGGGCCAGGGCCGCTGCCCTGGCCGCCCCATCGCTCCCTCCTTAAAGGAACCCCCTTTTAGTTGCGGTTGGAACTCGTAGCCTTTCTTCACTGACAATTCACTGCACTGCTCGTTCCTACCATCCTGACGCTGTTACGCAGTCGCCAAATTAAGAAGCTTCAACGAGATGGGCTTCAGATGATCCGGTCAGCAGGACTGGTCAAAGGTACAGTAGCCCTTTGAGCACAAACCTTTTTGCATGCACGCTCCCTTTAAGAGTCTGCACAAGCAATGGATCTGCATGATTTGCAGATCAACGGCCGCCCAGGCCCCTCATCTGAATGAACCTGAAACTAGTACCAGAAGAACTTCACAGCTTCTCAGCGCTACGCCATAACGCTTCCCTTGTCCCCTGAGTGCCAAGGCTGCATGAAGTCCTCGAAGCTGAGTTCCCCATCGCCGTCCATGTCAGCCTCATCTCGCACTGCTTGCGCGATCTGCCACGTGCACCCCATGTGCACGGCGGCCCCACGGCCGGGCCGCCTCTTTGACCATCTCTTCGATCTCCTCGTTTGTGACCTCCGAATCTCTCTCTGAGGCGTGACGGAGGGCCAGGCCCCGCTACACTGCGATGCGCCCGGAAGAATCCCCAAGCGATGATAAGATCCGCCCGAGTGTGCGCCTTCTCGCCGAGGCTGTTCATCACGTGCTTCAGCTCGCTTGGGGTCACCTTACCACCTGCTGCTTTCACACTCCAGGATCTCGACTGCTGACTGCATGTGTATGCCGGCTCGGCACTCTTGTCGCGGTCGAAGACCATGAAAGCTTCGTGCATCTCCTGCGCTTGGGCCGCTAGGCCACGGAGCGGCCCAGAAAGCCGACTAACCCCGTTGCGCTTTGAAGCGGGCGCCTCAGCCGAGTCCAAATCGTGGAGCTTGGCCGCCATCAGCTTCAGGAACCTTCAGAAACTCCAAGGACCTCGACGACTTACGAGGGCCATCGCTTGGGAGCGAGCTCCGGGAACTCGATGGTTCCACTGCCGTCCTGGCCCAAGAGTCCCAAAAAGCCAAGAGCCGAACGAAGAGGAAAGCGAAAGCTCCAAGAGATTTCCGAAATCGCAGCGCCTCATCGGCCTCTCCGACCATGGCCTTCAACTCCTCCGAGGTCCTGGGAGATGAACTTCCAGCATCGGAGACGTCGGAGGTTTGGGGACGGTTCTTTTGGCTGTCGGCCATTGGTCTACGTTTTATAGGAGTCTAGTAGTCTAGTATCCTGCCCTCCGCGAGGTATGTGGGACCCCAGGCAGGGGGATATGGCAACACAGCTGCGCACCAGCTTGCAACGAGCAAATCTGAAACGGATATGCAGAAGACTGGCTCCTCAGCACATGTGGCTGCAGAAATATCTCCAGGCACGATGCAGTGGTCGCACCGGCCACTTTGTCTTGCCATGTCTTGTGTGTTTCTTGTTTCTTGTTCTGATTTTGTCATCTCCAAGCTTGGCACCCGGCGGCTTGCGGCCTAGGGCTTTCAGCACGACCCCCAGCTCGTCACTGGAGATGCGGCCATCGCCATCCTCGAAAAAAGCAGTTCCGCTGTCAAACACTTCCGTTACTTCCGACTTCCTCCTCCCCGGAGCTCCCATCGATCGCTAGAGAGGCTGTGGCCGCCTTGCCTTGTCGAAGAGCCCGAAAGCTTCTTGGAACTCTTCCACCTGCGCCTACAGGGGGGTTTTTCAGTTTTCAGACAGGAGGGGAGTGCTCTTGTTCCAGCGTCCCGAGGAATGGCACCTCGGTCAATGAGATGGCTTTGCTCTGAAGATCCACCTGAGGGCATCAGGGTACAGAACGACGGTCAAAGGCACGGTAGACGATGATGGTCGTGCTCGTTACAGTGATGGAGGCGGCGATGATGGCGGTAGTGATCGTGGTGACAGCGTGACGGTGACGACAAGTTAGGCGTGCACGATAGTCTTGGCGCCGATGACGATGATGGTTATAGGCGCTGGAGGAGGCACAGGATGATGATGATGGTGTGATGCTGTTACAGATAATGATGACCGGGGGCCAAAGCACAAAATGCCCTGGGTTGCGCACCGGCTTCTTCTCCATGGCTAAGACCTTCACATGGCTTGGCGGTGCCCCGTTCCTGTCACTAGCTGGTGGCGGAGTAAATTGAGGACTATGAACCCTGTACATTCCTAGAGCTGAGCTGCTCGGACAGGCTCCACATGCTTGGCACTTCGATCCATGCCTCACTGCATGAGGCAAAGCAGTCTTGCATAACAAGAGCTTCGACCTTGCCCTTGATCCATGAAACTTGATATTTTGGATCTGCTCCAGGTTTAGGAAAAGGTTGGAAGCCCTAGGCCGCCGCCGTCCCAAAGGCACTTCATCGATTCAAGGCCGGGCTTGCAAGGCGCTTTTTCGACGACGGCGCGCGCTTCGGAACGGCTGGAGCCTCTTCGACTTGCAAGTGAGAGCTGTCGGCGTTAATGGTAATGACGGCTGCCTGCACAGCATGCATGCTGCTGCATGCACGGCATGCATACCAAGACGTCTAAATCATACACTAACATGTCGGCTGCTCCGCCGTCCAGCCGCAAACTGCAAGGAAGGTAGGTGGTTAGGGGGGCTACTTCACCCCGGGCTCTGAAGTCCACGACACGAGACCAAACTGTCAAAACTGCTGTCGTAGGCCTAGGCTCAACGCAATGCGGTACGCAAATGCCTCAACTCCGTCCAGAGGTCTCGTGTCCGGCAAAGTGGCTAGCACAAGGCCCTGACAAGGCAAGCCTCCACATCTGAACGCCTCATATGAATGCCTCTCAGGCCCTGCAGTAGGCGAGATTCGCGACGCTTTAGGTAGCAGCTATTCTGCGGCATCTTCTGGCCTGCCTTAGGCAGCGGAACCGGGTCAGCCAACAGGCGGCTTATAACGCCGGGAAGAGGGCTGTCCTGGCTGCCTCTCAGACCCGCCGCGGCTTGCGAGCTTCCAAGGCCTCGCTGAAGGCAACAACCGGCGTGTGGACGTCACTCCTCAACGCCGGCCTTCTTTGCGCGGTCCTGAGGAGGCCTCAGACTCATGCACCGTCGCACGGCAAAAACAGAGCAAACTTATAGGGCGATTTTTTGCGATGGGCCGCCGGCCTCAAGGTTGCGCGCGGCGGGCCTGAGAAGTCCAAGGAAGCTAACCGAGGAGTCTGAGTCTGCTGGGAGTCTGCGGAGGCTCAGAGGCTGCCGCTGGCTTCATCGGAAGACGCATCCTGCGATCGGAGGAGCAGGCGCAAGCGCACTCAGAGTCGCCCGCCTTAAAAGCTTGTCTTCTGCAGGAGGGGGCGCGCCTTTCGCGATGGAGGGACCAAGGTTGCCCGGGGCTCCCCGTCCTGCGCTCCAAGATCTGGCCAACTCCCAAACTGTCAAGAGTTTACGGCTCACAGCTCTTCAACCACACCAGTATATAGTCCCGACACACCCAGCACGGTGGATGGAGCATCGAGTGGGATCTGTCGGAGTTTGGTCCGTGTTACGGCCTTTACTTTTGGATGCACCAGGGCTCTGACATGCCTGACCAGCAAACCTTTAGAATTAATCTCTGTGGGGCATTCGAAAGCTATGCCCACGACCCAAGCCCTTGTTAAGCCCACGTAATTCCCCCAACATTCTGCCTTGGTCGCCCGCGTCGGCGTGCTTTGCGCCCGCTTTCCGGGGCAGAGCTGGGCGCGAAGAACCCTGAGTGCAGCAATCAAAGGCGTGTTTGATTACTGTAGCCGCTGTAGCCTGGATACACACTCACGCGAAAAACAGCAATTACATGTAACACATAGTCGCATCCAAGAGTTTAAAGGAGGGTGAGACAAACCGTCCTCGCAACCCTGCGGGCCTTCGGAGCAGTTCCTGGCCGTCCCGAGCCTGTGGACGATTTCGAGCCTCGGAGAGAACCAACGACATCAGAGAGATCCTTTTTGCCGTTTCTGTGGCTCTACAGGGGGCGCACCTCTTGAGGCTGCCAACGCCGCGCCTGCGCAAGCTCTGCTCCAAGCTTCCACAGCCCACCCGAAGGCCCCTGCAAGCCTCCGGAGAACGCTTCTCCTCGTCGTTGCGCCGGACCCTTCGAAAAGAGGACGATGAAGGGAGTGCTTCGGACAAATTCCACAGACTTCGGCTTCGGATCCCTTTTGAGGCCCCGGCGCACGGGTCAGGCTCACGGCCGGAGCTGAGCGAGGCAGAAGGGAGGCAAGAGTAAGGGGGTAACGAGAGAGTCAGCCAGTCTCTGCAACGACTGCGATGTGTAAAATATTCAGATCCCAATGAACGCCACGGCTAAGGCCGTCAAGGTGGAACGCCCAGGGTTCGGCAATCTTGCCTCGTGTCTCCGTAGGAACCTGCGTGGCTTCAAGATGCTTTACGGGAGCTCGGCGCCGGCTTGGCCCGGGACTGAGAGGGCGTTGGCGGCCCCGCCGACGACCCGCTTCTTGGGAGGCCCGGGAGCCTGACAGCCGCAAAGTGCAGGCAGGGCCCAACGAGGACGTCGGCCCTCGGCAGTGCCTCACTTTGCGCTTCGCTTTGCGCAGACGGCGAAGTGTCGCGAGAACGAGAGCGCTCTGCCTGCCGTCAGGCACCACCCAGGAGTCTGGACTGTGACCGTGGTAAGTGTGCAACAAGCGCCTTCCGCTTTGGGGGCGGCGACACCTCCGGTTAACGCAGAATTGAACATTGCCCAGCTCCAGATCTGCCACACCTCTTTCTCGTCTTTCCTTCGCCTCGCATCGCTAATCACGGCTTTCCAAGACCGCCCTAAATCATACATACATACATACATGCATGCATGCATGCATGCATGCATGCATGCATGCATGCATGCATGCATGCATGCTTACCTACCTACCTGCCTACCTACCTGCCTATGTTCGTGCAGAAACACATGGTCCCGCGCCGCGCCGCCCTTGGCGATGATGCTGAGGACAATAACGCTGATGTGCTTCTTGCATGCTGGTATTCCGCAGTGTGACTGTTGGTAGCACCACGGCTCTTGTGCAGTTCTGCCCTTCGGTACCGCATCTTCTTTGCTTCCATTTGCTTCAAGAGTTTGTTTGGCTTGAGGTTCTTTCGCAGCCTTTCGTAGTTTGTATCGACCGTTGTCCTTTCTGTGCTCAGATTCGGTTGGAAGCTGGGTACGTTGAATCAGCCCGAGCAGGTGAGCAAGGGACCGGAGGAGCGAACGGACGATCGCATGGGATCGTGATCACCATCGGAGGAACCGAGGAGAACCCACACCACAGGGGGAACCACAGGGGGAGGGTGATACCATGGCGTGCGGAGGGGGGCCTGCAGCGCTGCATTACAGAAAATCACACTATCATATACAATGCCATACAGACCAAAAACCTCCCTTCCTACGCTGCAAAAGCAGAGAAAGGTAGCGGCTCTTGTGGCTAATTGAAACAAGTCTGTATGAACATAGTTATAGAAGGACGATTAGGGGATGTTGCACCTCCATATTCACGCATCTGCATCGAGTTGCTGTTTGATGTTTATACACTGTTAATCCTTATTGTAGTTATTGTGAAGAGTATCCCCAAACGCGGTTCTGAGCGGGATCATGTACCCAGCGGTGTGAGCTTTTTTCATGATCCCTGCGCTTGAAGGTTTCCTGACTGTTCATGATATGCGATACGCTCCCACGTGATTACTGGAAATCCAATACCGTACTCGAAGCAAAACAAAGAGTTATGGTACAAGACCGTCACAACATCATGCAATATTGTAAATTCAATTTGAACCTTATGTGAATGGCAAACGATTCTAGGATGTTTAGTTTTTCTTCATTTTCCACCGTAACAATGTGCTATCTATGTAGCATCTGCTTACCACTTAAAGGTAGATGAGCAGGGGATGTAGTTGTTATTGGATATTTTGTTTCGGACGTCAATGACACCTGTGTAGTATATTCACAGCACTTATTTGAATATTCGCTTGGTGTTTAGCTTGCATTCAGTGTAGGGATACAGATGTTGATGCTATGTGATGAGCACTATTTAGTCAGCATCTTATCAGAGATGCAGTGAGTTAAAACCCAACAATAGACTAGCCGCTAGCCTTTACCTACAGACCAATATCTGTTACAGACTGTTAATGCTGTAAATGCTAGAAAAAATTACCTGAAGAACTCGTCTGGTAGTTATTCATTCTTCAATATCGAGCTACCGTCACAAGAGATACTTAGTAATTATTAATATCGCTTGCATTTGATATTCATGAAATATTCGACCAATCTCTCATGAGTATATACCCAATGCGTTTTTGGCATTAGGAAATATTTAGATGATAGCTGATAGCTGACCGCAAGTAAAGTTGGCTTTCTGGCACGAGATCTGTTGCAAATCCTTACACAACGAAGTCATTTCCTATCAAGCATGCTGCGCTCTGTATTGGGGCCTAAGGCTCAGAGGACCAAAAATCTGAAAATCCAAAACCTTAGGGCAACCTCGAAACTCTTGGAGTGTTTGGTAATCCTAGGTTTTTTTTTGGGCTTCGCATTAACGAAACCATGGTTTTGTGGTTTTCCAACAGAAATCCAAAACAACACAAGGTGTATTGTTGATTTAAATCCAGCAGAAATACAAATTTCTCTAGGTTGTTGGGCTTTCCACAAAAACTCCCAAAAAGAAACATGGTTTCGTTAACGCTAAGCCAAATACCAAAAATGGCCCAGGAAACAAAAAATTAAAGTTTCGGGCCCCCCCAACAAGGTTTTGGTTTTTGGTTTCCGCGGAATCACGACAAAACTAAAAATCCAAGAATCAACACCTTTAGTGCAACCTCGCAACTTTTTATGCTGTGGTTTTCCTGGTTTTGTTGTTTTTGGTGTTCGCATCAACGAAACCATGGTTTTTTGCTTTCCAATAGAAATCTAAAAAGACAAAGTTAGGTTGAGTTGGTCAGAAATCCAGCAAAAATACCAATATTACCTAGTATTTTTGCTTTTTGCGAGGTCTCCACCAGGAAATCCAAAATACCCTAGCTTTTTATGGTCTCCCACCACAAATCCGAAAAAGAAACTTGGTTTCCTTAAGGCGAAACCAAAAACACAAAGGACATGCTAGGAACACCAAGAAAAACAAGTTTCGGGCCCCCGGATTTGTGGATTTTTTGGTTTCCGTCGAATCGTATGGTCTCTGTACAGTATATGTTTCTTGCGTTTGAATACAGGCATATTAATATTAGCGGACGTGAGAATGCACGACATTGCAGAGAGACATGACTTGAGATCATCCGTGAAAATTACGCAAGACACGAATCCCTCCCAAGAGACGGTTTTGATGGTACTCACGATGCAAACGAGGCCCAGGTAGGTCATATGGGGGGGTGGTGTCAATATATACATATAGATAGCTAGATAGATGTATATGTATACTCTATATGTGAATTATACATACATATATACATACATACATACATACATACATACATGCATGCATGCATGCATGCATGCATGCATGCATACATACATACATACGTATATACACACATACATATAATATATTAATATATATATATATACATAATATACATACTGTTAAAGATATGTATGTATTTGCTTTGTATAACAGTAAGACCTATGACATTCATGGTGTCCACATCGTAGTCTTGTGCGACAGCAGAGTGTGTACAGTAAGGCGCTGCTCTAGGGAAGCTCCTTTTCTGCCTCTCCCTGACTGGGTCCGGCACTTCGGCTCCCACCTCTCGGGCTCCTTGCGAGGGACGAGCTTCGGATCCTCCCATCAAAGCACTCCGACTCCAGAGAAGCTAGCGAGAGAAAGCAGCTAGTGAGCGAGTGTTTTCCAAAGAGGGTTGGGAGATGGAAACGGTCCGCAGCACGCTTCCCGCCATCGGACTTTTTGCTTTTTTTCTTCTTCTTCTCCTGCCGTGCCGCACTGCCGCTGCGCCCCAGGCTCCGCCCTTTGCCACCAAGAGCCCCTTTCTTGAGTCCCGCTGCTCGAAGAGCCTTTTCCCCATTTGACTTGGACTCCGAGTTCTCCGAGGATCGGGACCGAGAGGCAGATTTCGTGGGCTTCTGGGGCCTCACGGCGACGAGACGACAAAAATGCTAGTTGAACACTGCCCTCTGAGTCGGGCCTTTTCACGCTCTTCTTCACCTTCACCTTCGCCTAGAAAAGTGAGAGAAAAAAAAGAAGGCTGCAGCCGCTCTTGGCCCAAGGTCCAGAAGGCACGGGCCCGGGGCCCTGAAGCACCGAGGCCCTCACCGTGGCCTTGCGCTTGGCCTGGCCGGGCGCGCGCGCGCGCGCGCGCGCGAGCGGCTGGGAAGTCTCATAAGAGAGAGAAGGCTACAGTGGCTTTGCCTGGCTCTTCTTTGGATCCTTCTTCTTCCCATCCTTCTTCTCCTTCTCCTTCTCCTTGACTGAAGGGCTGTGCACAGCTGCATGCTGTAGCGGCCCCTTGCTCTCCAGCCTCCTTCTTCTTCTCCTTCTCCTTCTCCTTCTCCTTCTTCGCATCCTCAGGCGCTGCGTGGAAGCGGGGAAAATGCTCTCTGCTCTTCGACGGCCCGCCTTGCCCTTCCTTCGAACCGGCGAGGACCGCGAGCGCGTCGAGGACTTCGACTTGGACTTCGACCGACCGGACTCTTGGCCTCAAGGCGTGAGAGTCCGTGAGCGCTGTGCTTTGCTTTAATTCGGCAGTGTGGCCGGAAGTGGACGAGGACGAGGACGAGGACGCCGCGTTCGATGAGCCTGGCACTCTTCAGCTGAGCCCCACAAGTAGAGTCGAGCGAAACTCGCCGCGCCTTTCTTCACAGGATCCGGCGGGACCGGCCTGAAAGGTGCACGGCGGTGCACGGCGCTGCCCGGCCCAGAACGGTGACTTCTCACATTCCCGGCTGGGCCCCGGACGGAGTCTTGGCCGCTCCTGCGATTGGCGTTGTTACAGGTTGGGCTTTTGTTTGAGTTTGTCTTTTGTGGTCCTTTCTGCGGAGGCGGAGGCGGTGGAGGCGGCGTCTTCATGGCGTTGTTGCCACGGCCTGCTCTCTGACTCCACCACTGCACTCTACCTCCCGAGAGCGTGACGGCCATTGGGGCCCGGCTGGTCGTTTCAGCGTGGGAGTTGTTGCTAGATTCTGGCTGCGGTGCGGCAGCTTTGGACGCCTCCACTGAAGCCATTCTCTTAATGACTCGAGCTTCGTCACGCTCTCTGTATAAAGACAACGCCAGGCGTTGCCGTAACACTGGGCTGCCGAGCCGGCTGCGGCGTCAGCGCGCAGCGCTGGCATTCATCGTAGTCGCACTGGCGACAGCCATAGAAGCCGGAACCCTGGCGGCAAAAGCTCGCAGCTGAGAAGGCTCCCAATGTCCATGGATGAAACCGAAAGCGGTGGCCTTTGCGTGCTCCTTTTCACAGACGCTGCACCTCAGAGGTCAGGCACAGACAGAGGGGACAGAAAGAGTCATCGGGCCGGGATGGAGCTGTTGCTGGCTCCCGAAAGCGGAGTCGAGGCTGCTGCCACCAGCCGTTCTCCGGAGTCAGGAAGAAGCTGAGCAAAGAAGCACAGAGAGAGAGAGAGGGAAAAGAGAAGAGAGAGATTGCAGCGCAGCGGAGGGGAGGCAGCAGTGCTCAGGCGGCGTAAGTCAGAAGGACCCTGCCCAAGATCAGCCTGAGTCCGTGCGCACCAGGACAGTTGGAGTGGACCTTGCCCTCCATCCTGGGAAAACAGCAAAAGCCGCGGGGCAGCTTATAAGGGACTCCATGGACTCACGGCGTGGCGTGCGTGGCGTGCGAGGCGTGGCGCGCCGGCGCGCCTCTTGGAGACGTTTGGGATCTCCGCATCCTCCTCGCCCTGCCGAAGCGCTGCAGCAAAAAAACAGGCCTTTGCTGCTGCCCGCAGCCTTCTCGACTTTCTCGGCTTCCTTTGAAGCCTCTTTGGCCTCGCCTTCCTCCTTGCCCTTAGGATCTTTCTCCTTCTTTTCCCGCTCCTCAGCGGGGGTGCTCTTCCGCTGCTTTAAGACCTGCACAGAGCCGACCCAGCGGCCGCAGCCGCTGCCGCTGTGCAGGAACAGGACTCCGCGTGTTTTTTTCAGTGGCCCGGGCCTGCATCTTCTGCTTCAGGTGCTCCAGCTGTCGGTTGCTGATGTGGATCTTCGCGCTGGTCTTGCCTTTTGCGTGCAGTGCCAGCAGGGGAACATCGCTGAACGCTGCCATTGGGGCCGGTGGCCCCGCCTGGATCCATCAGAGCCTCGTCGGAGGGTTCGGAGTCCTGACACTGGCTTTCCAGAAGTTGCATGCGCCATCTGCCTTCGTGCTCTCTCACGCACCTCCATCTCCATGGTAGAAGGCTCCACCCTGCAAGGAGTCAAAAAGGCTGAGGGACTCTTGGCTCTAGGCTCTGGACTCGACTGGCCTTGAGGCGGACACCGCTAGGGGCGGCAGGTCCTTGGGCGGTGGCGTCTCCAGCTTCGGCGGCGTGGACGCCTTCTGTCCTCGCCAGGGATTGCTCTGAGAGTTGCGGAAATCTCCCCACGGCTTGAGGCCGCGGCGAGGAGTGCGACCTGCAGGCAGCGTGTGCGTATAAGGCGGCTGTGGCAAGAATCGAGCCAAGCCCACTTGCGCCCAAGCCCAGTGCCTCCGGTGGGCGTGTTGTTTCCTGCAGGAGGCGAAGGCACATCCGCGAAGGTGCTTGCGAAGGCGCTTGCGCCCCCAAGCCGGCCGCAGATCCAACATGTTGAAAGCCGCTCTGCAAGTCTGCGCGCAAGGGCGCCCACCCAGCCTGGCCTGTGCTGGCATCCACCGTCGCCGCGCCGCTTCGAGTCGGAGTGCCGGACCCGGGATCCTGCGCGGAGGCACTCCGATCGTGGACTGCACTGCGGTGCCCCAAAATCAAGGCCGTCGATTTCACAACGGGACCCGACCAGAACGCAGAGCTCGACACCGGCAGCGCCAGAGCTCTTACAGAAACCCGCAAGAACAGATGCAAGGCAATGGAGAGGGACTATTGCACTACCAATGGCAAACCAGCCGGAGCAATTCACCAAAGCCGCAAAAAACAGCAGGACTTGGCGGAATCCTCTCAACCTGGATTCGGACGACGCCACAACGGGTCGAACAGATTCGGCGCGCACAGGTTTTTGGAATCAACATTCCAGGGGCCTAAACCTATATCCTAGTGAAGCTTTCGAATCGAGATTTGAGTAAGACAAGTAAGACCATGACTGCTAGCGTCTGAGGTCCAAAAAAGGAAGCAAACGAAAGAAGTCTTGCGGCAACTAAGCCAAGGGCAAAGATGCACACTGCAGGTGTAAAGTCACAAAGCGCTACTGCATTGCGAAGAAGCATGAACGGAAAGAAGCATCTGCAAAGCAGCCGTGTCCTTTCGCTGGTTGATCGGCGGAGGTTCCGGGTGAATTTTCAAAGGTCTGGCCCTGAGCGCGAGTACTCTGATGTTCCACGGAGGATCGACGTGATGTCCGTTTTTCTGCGTGCCTCCACGCAGCCGGTGTCTGCGGTGCCACGTCATCTGCCTGGCTCTGCTCAACGTTGGAAGCTACAGATCCGGGGAGATCCGGTGCTTCAGTGCCGAACCTCTAGGGAAAACACGAAGCTGCTATCGTCTAGCTCAATGCCGTTGTACAAATCCTGGCAGAACAGCCGCCCTCCATTGGCACTTCGCAGGTAAGGGGGCAAGTCGGGCGAAGTCTGCTGGATTTTTCGCCCATGCAGCTGCTGAAGGCGCAGTAAATTCATCACTGTGCAACTTGTCAACCAATCTCATTGCTGTCGCTGTCGCTGCCCTCGTCTGCCTGAAGCTGATGAAACTGACGAATCCTAGAGATCTGGCGAATGCACACAGTGCTCAACGGGTCGCTGACCTTCCAGCTGGGATGGTCGAAAGGCAGTGATGCGAGGAATCCGCCCAAGCTGTCGTTCTCCTGCCTAAGACTCTGAGCTTCCTAGGCAGCGAGTATAAATAGGCACCCCTCCTCCCACCCCCCCCTCCGAGCTTCAAGCAGGCGCTTGTAGGCACTCAAGAGCAAAGCCGGCAGCAGCGAGACGGACAAGACCTGGGCCCAAAAGCCGCGACACACCCAAAGGTGGGCCCTTCCTTGGCCTAGGCTCCTAGGCTCCCTTTCTTTATCGCTGCGAGTCAAAGGGGCGACCATCGCGGTCCCATTGCCACCAAGCCTGGTCAGCTGTCGTGGTGCAGATGGAGTGGGAAAAAAAACGAGCGGCCCGAGCCTGCTCAACCAGCTCTCTGCCTCCTTGCAGGCTGCACTCAGAGGCTCCGGAGACGAAGGACGAGGGACGCTGGGACATTGCAGCTGCCTTCTTGTCAGCTGCCTGGCTGGTTGTCACGGAGATCTCTGCAGAGGTCCTGCATTCAGCAGCCCGCACCATCCCAGCACTAACTTCGTGGCCAATCCGGCCAGGAAGACAAGAACCGCGATGGAGCCGTGTCACATCTGCAGTGCTCTGCTGAAACTCAGGTCAGGACTGCGAGGATTGCGTGAGCAGGTGGAAATCTTCCGGTTCCGCCGCACCTTTGCTTCCTATCTGACTGCACAAGCAGTATCGCAGCTCTAGGAGCTGGATGTTGTCAGCATCAGACCCCAAATTACGTAAATGGAACACTGCAGATTCCACCACCTCAACAACAAAACGATTGTCATTATACGACTTGCCCCAAAGCTGAGGCTTTCACTGGGCGATGCGCCCCGAAGTGATCGCTTCACTTCGGTGTCGGCGCTCACGGAAACAGCCAGCAGCAAGAGGCCTTTTCGCACTTCACTGGGGAACGGAGGGTGGGAGGGCCCAACTAGACGAGAGGTTTACTGGGATTGAGATTTTTTTTGAGAAGGGGTTCATACGGAGTTTCGGGCTCATGTAGGGTTGAGGGGTCTCTCGAATGCTTCCGAAGCAGAACAACTTCTGGCCTGCATGTCTCCAGGACATTGCTCCGCGCATCACGCCGGAGGATGGGACTCTTTGTTGAGTTCAAAGCTGTGCAACCCGGCTGCTAGGTGGTGCCCTAACCATGTGCTTAGCTGCGTTTTGTGCCGATGACACTTCTTTCGAATGCCTGCGGTGGAGACATGCCAGAGGAATCCGCTCTTGCTGAGCTCTTTGGATGGCTGGCACAGGGGAACGAGCACTTGCCATCCGCCGCATGGCTCAAAACATTTCATTAGAATGCGTGCAGCTCTTTCAATCCATGCCTTCGGCGTGAGGCACTCATCGAGAACAAAGACCATGGAGTAGAGGTCCACCTCCAACGCTGCGAGATAGAATATCAGGAATATGAACTATGTATGCTATGCGGAACAGAATTCCCGCCTCAATGATGTCATCCTGACGTGCACCCTGCGCAGGGCCATGCAGGTCGATAAGAGCCTCGGGAGGTGACATGTCTTTGCACCTCGCCAGACCACTCATCGTAGTACCTGGGCACAGAACTCTCTGAGCTCTTTTAAGGGCAGGGGCCAAAAAAAAGGCCCAAGAAGGGGGGCCCGGGCGAGGTCTCGTACCCGTTGAAGTGGTGCAAATGGTGACCGTACCTAGCAGACAGTGCCAGCGCCGTGCAAGCCCAGGCCAGGCGCCACCCCCCAAGCCCCCAAGCTCCCACTTTCCAAGCTCCGGGCCCTTCCTCTTCCCACCATCCCTCCGTGTCGGGATAGTACCTTGCAACAAAGTGCTCTCCCCGTGTGGCCCACCCCCGCCTCGGGGGACGCCTTTTGCGAAAGGGGCAAAGAGGCGGCTCAGAGGCCCGAGCTCGTAGGAGCGCTCGTGACTCCGATCAGCCTCCGGAGTTGCGCCTTACCCCCAAGCAATGCTTGGGCCCAGAACGGCTCCGAAGGGCTCCCAAGGACGCTGAAGGCTGAGGAGGGCTCCCTCCGATCGGCTGGCCTGGGACGCTTTCAAGAGGGCCGCTTTCAGAAGAAACGGCAAACGGCTTGAGGCACTTCGCACCCGATCGGGCTCCGCGCGACGCTGGCCTTTCTCTGCAGAGTTCCTGCGCCCTTGGGGGTCCTGAGATCGGGGCGTCAAGGGTATGAAGGGATGCCCAAGGGGGACTGGGGGCCCGGGGCCCCGGTCCTGCTGCCCAGATGGACATCAGACATGTGCTCTACATCTGCGCCCAAGGCCGGTAGGCAGACATGCCTGAAGAGTAGGGCGGAGTCAGAAAGCGAAGCTCGCGCCGTTGAGCCCTCTGTGGCGAGCCTTCAGAGTTCCATCTGCTCCTGAAGCCGCTTGCGATGGTGCATCGTGGTGCATCGTGGTGCATCGTGGTCATGGTCTGCAAGTATAAGAGCCGGCCTGGCAGAGGGGAGGACCTGAGATGGGTCTCCCCCATCCTTCGAACCAAGCTGGCAACGGACGCAAAGCCAAGATCCGCAAAAAAGGGCCAAAAGAGGCGATAAATGCTCTCAGCTCTCAGCTTCTGATCACTGTGTCCGCACTCCGCCCTTACTTACCCTCTTTCTGCGCGTTTTTCCTTTTCAGGGCTGCCCTGCCCTCGGCCCTCGGCTCAACCGTGGCGGACTCTGGCTTTGCCCTTCGCTAACCCGGAGCAGCCAGATTTTGCAGTCACAAAAAAAAACACACACTGACACACTTCTTTAAATCACAAGGCCCCGTTGCGTTTTGCTCGCAAAAGCTGGCCGCGCCTTCAACCTGGGAACCCCATCGCACTGGCACGGCTCCGCCGTCTCTTGCAGAGGGCTGCCGGAGGGGCGCCAGGCTCGCTGCTGTCGGAGGAGCAAGGCGCTCACTGCGCCAGGCTCCGACCACGGGTCGTTTGCGAGGCCCTGGCATCCTTGAAAAGGCTGCGGCTGAGGGGTACAACGGGTACAAAGCTTAGAAAAACGAAGAGGATGGGAAAAGGGGGGCGACCTGGCCTGGTCCAGGGCGAAAGTCCAGGCTTTGGCGCTCTGCAGCTTCCTCGCAGAGCAGCGGACTGCATGGGACTCAGATGGACCCTCCCGTTTTGGGCTCCGAGCCGTTGGCCCAGCGGGGACCAGGTCAGGGAGCCGCAAGCCTCGGCCCAGCAAACCCGAAGATACCGCCGACTCGGCATCCACGCGCCTGACAGCGCCGCCAGCCCAGGAGCTCCAGAAGCGAAGCCTCCAAGAAAGCGGAGGCAAAGGCTCATAGCAACGAGCTTTCAAGAGTCGGAAACCTCTTGAGAAGATGAGGGACCCTTGTAAAGGGCGCCGTGTTACCTTCCTGGGTCCTGGGTTGATTTTCCTGCATAAACACCCATCCCCCAATGAGGCGATCCCGACTGATCGAATTTCTTATTCCCGCGATCCCGATTCATCACAAATCTTAAACGCGACCCCATGATAGGAAAAACGATATCTTAAACTCGCGCCCCTTGTGGCGATCTCGGTTCATGACTCAGTGACATATCTTAAACACAGCCACTCGTTTAGAGATCCTGGTTCATCACATATTTCAATATCTCAAACACGGCCCCTCGCTAGGCGATCCCGGCTAATCACAGTTCTTACACCGCCCCCCCCCCCCTCATCAGACGATCCTAGTTGATCACGTCTTTTAAACTCACTCCTTCCTTTGCCGAATCGGGATCACATATCTTCTTTTAACACGGCCCCTCCTTTGGTGGTCCCGAGTCAGCACGTATCTTTCTTAAGCATGCCCACTCCTCTGGCGATCCCGACTCATCACATACTATATCTTAAACTCGCCCCTCCTTCATCACCCCCGATTTCATCACATATCTTAAACACGCCCCATCATGAGGCGATCCCGGCGGATCACCTCTCTTCAACCCGCCGCCTCATGTGGCGACCCAGGTTCCTCGCATATCTGAATCACACACTCTCTTTTAGTTATCCTGATTCATCACACAATTCATCACATGTCTTAAACACACCACCTCATTGCGCGATCCCGGTTAAGCGCATCTCCGCCGCCTCGTTTGGCGATCCAGGTTCCTCACATTTCTTAAAGCCACCCGATTCATCAGAGATTCCTACAGTCCTAAACATGCCCCCTTAGTAGGCGAGCCCGGTTGATCACAGGTCTTAAACCCGCACGGCCACCGCTCGAACATGCGCTGGATGTGCAAACGCCGGAAGCCGTCGGAATAAAGATTGGCACTGCCAGTAAAAAAGTAGTCAATGCACCCGCTGTCGGACAATGGGCATCCACTGTCTGCTAGAAGACATCCACTGTCAAAACAAAGACTTGCCCCTCTCGGAATGCAGAGAAGAGGGAACGGCTGCAACAAAAAGGCCCCACTGTCAGAAAAAAGATAACGAATGTCAGCAAAACGGGGGTCCCATAAATTTCCTACACTAAGAATTCAAGACAACATGGCGCCCTTTTCGTTGTTTTGGCCTCAAATGGCAGGTACTGAAATAAGATCCTGTATAATCTCCTTGTCTTGGAACCGGGCAAAGCAAGTGAAACCCAACCTTATCCACACGCGCCTGTTTCATGTGAGGGCACATGCAGACATATGCGTGCACGGTGAGACCAAACCACACCCATACATTGCTGTCGAAGCAACGCTTCTGTTTTCTCCTACAACTTGAACCCCCTCAGAGAGCGCCAGGACGGTACTAGACAACCCCGGTCCGTTGCCCACTTCGGCGCCTGTGAGGGCGGCTGCACCTTCCTCTGCTCCTGCCCCGGCAGCCTTGCCGCCGCACGCGTGGAGGCTGTGACGTCGAAGAGGCAGCTGGGCTTCTCCCCCAAGAAGTCCTCAAACCAAAAATGAGAAGAGCTCATAAGGCTTCTTTGAAGGGGCCCCCGGGGGGGGTCTCCTGGACTTCTCAAACCGACTCATCGACTCATGTCAGGAGGTTCTGGGCTCCTCCAAGGTGACGTGCGGAGGCCTCCGCTTCCGGCTCACGGAGGGGGAGCGGGAGCGGAGGTCCGCCAGGAAGCTCTCCAGGCTCTGCGCCTGCTAGCAGAGCTGTTTAGGGTTTGGGGTCTAGGGAGTCTAGGGTTTAGGATTTAGGGCTCTATCTAGGACGGGATTCTTTGCAAAAAATTTCGAAATCTCGTCGGTACGCACTTTTGAAGAGCACTCCGAAACGAAGTCTCTCTGCGAGCATCTGTGCTGCGCACCTCTGCAGGTCCCCTGGAGCGATCCCTGGAGCGCAGCTGGAACTTCACCTACCCATCGTTGCACCGTTCTGTTTTTTTTTCATCTCCACCCTTCCAAGGACAGAGAAGAGAAGTGCAGAGCCTCCTCGGGCTCCCTTGGCTGGCTTTTCTCCTGCATCATGCCAGGCCCTCTTGGCCCCTGTAGTTACACTGTAGTTACTATCTATAGTTGTTGAGCTGAGGGAGGCGCCGTGGCATGGGCATCGCAGGCGGCGAGCGCGCCATCCGGCGAGGGCTCGCGTGAGAGGCCAAGCGACTTCAGCATGTCCCGGGCGCCGCTCTGGGTCTGTCGCTCCTTTTTGGGGAGACAAAAAAGAGAGCACTGAGGAGCGAGGAGCAAAGGAAGACTAAGAAGCAGCTCTTTAACGTCTCCTCGAGGAGTTCGGCCAGGTAGTCCACCTGCTGCAAGAGAGCCTGGGTCCTTTGACTTTCCTCCTCCAAGAGCAGCCTCAACGTGGTGTTCTCCTGCTCGAGTTCCTGGGATTGGCTCTCCATCTGCGCCTTCTCGGCCCGAGCGGCATCGCGCTCCGAGGCCAACAGCTCAAGCTGCGGCCACGAAGGCCAGTCCTCGCTGCGCTCGCTGCGCCGCGAAGGCGACGAAGGCGCCGAGGGCGACGGCAGGGAAAGCTCGTGGTCGGCGTCTTTCGCGCTTTCGGGCGCCGACTTCGCCGCGGGAACCTCGCCGGCGAAGCCGAGCTGCCCGGCGCTCAGGCGCTGCACGACGGCGCTGCCCGCGCGGCGCCAGCGCTGCCGCGCCCGCACCAGGGCCTCCTCCTCACCCTCCCGCTCCTCCCTCTCCTCCCCCTCCCCCTCCTCCTTCGGCGTGGGGCTGCTGGTGCGCAGGCTTCGCCGGCTCTTCAGCTGCCGGCACTCTGCCTCGGGGGGGCCATATTTGGGGCGGAGGACAGGACATGAGCGCAGCACGTGCAGTGCAGTGCAGCGACCGGCCTGGAGCTTCCGGTGCTCGTCTTCCAGCTTCTGATGCTTCTCCTCGAGAGCAGCGGCATGCTCTTCCGCAAGGCAGGCGGCATCCCGATGCTCCTGCACTTTCAGGCGGGAGGGAGAGAGTGAGAGAGAGAGAGAAAAAAAAACACACACAAGAGGCAGCGAGTGGTGAAAATTCGCAGCAAAGGTTGCTCGAGCCGAGTTTGTGCAGCGCTCCCGCTCGCTCTGCTCGGAGCGCTTGAGCCTCTGCCTCATCTGCTCCATGCTCAGCTCCTGCGAGACACAGGTCTCTTCTGCTTGAGACGTTGAGGGGGTTCGTCTCGCGTCGCGGTGGCGCTTGAAGGCGAAGAGATGGCGAAGAGATGGCGAAGCGTCGTGGAAACACTCCTCGTCCGAGTCTGCCGAGGCCGCGCTCTGCAGGCGCTGCTGCCGGGCCTTCAGCGCACGGGGCTTTTCGACGGGGACTGAAAAGGCTTGGGGGGAAGTCGTCTGAGATTTTGAGATTTTGCTTCTGAACGCAAGAAGTCGCATGGGGAGCGAGCCCTCTGCCCGTCCCTCTGCTCGAGCTCCAACTCTAAGCGTCGGCACTCCTGCAAACACGCAGCCCGGCAAGCCACCGGAGGCTCAGGGCTCGCTTCCCCGCTTGGGCTCTGGTCCTCCTCCAGCCTCTGGCCTCAGATCACACGCAGCCGGGAAAAGGGGGGGGCCCGGGGCCCGGCCCGGGCCCCAAAAGAATCCGGACTTCCTTGGACTCGGGCGGCGACTGGCCTGCAAAAAATCCCAGGAAAGGCCAAGGCCAAGGTTGGCAGCGCCCCGTGAGACTCGCGCGCCGACACATAAAAAACCCTGCCTCTGAAGCGGCGATCCGCGACTTCTCAAGCCGAAGCACCTCGATCAGATGTTGCTCTGACTCTGCACGTCTGACGAGCGGGACGTGCGCCTCCAGCTCCTGCTCCAAGGCTTCATTCCTGACTGGGAGCGTATCACCTCCTGCCCTTCCGATAGCCTAATTAGAGGCCGTTAGGCCTGCACCAGCCAACAACACAGGAAGCAACCACTCGGAAATCAAGACGTGTCAACACTGTGGAGCGATCAGATCACTCAACGCCCTTAACGCACCTACACTACGCAGCAACATGCTCGAGTGGCACCGTCAGAAAGGGCAGGAGTGAGAGATCCAGCTTGCAACGCGCGGTGGAGCGCGCAGTGGCCTCGAGAGCAGCAGCTGGCCGAGCTCCGCCGACCTCAAACGAATCGACACGACGCGGAGCCGCGGAGCTCTTTGTAAAAAACAGAGCAAAGCTCCGCTCCACTCTGCTCTGAGCTCCGGGCTGGCTCAGGGCCTCCCGCGCCTCGGCCGCGCCCCGGCACGCGGCCTCCATCTCGGTGCGCAGCAGCTCCAGCTCCTCTGACACTTAAAAAAAGAGAGCCAAAAAGAGCAAAAGCAGGCGAAGTTCAGCGAGGGAGGCGAGGCTTGCCCTGTTCTGAGTCAAGGGCACATCGCTGCGCAGGCACCGCCATGGCCATGTGGCCATTGGGGAATTGGGGGGGGTGCTTCTTGGAGCATGGGCTAATAGGAATCTGGCGCGAATCTCTACAGTATACTATAGACCATAGAAACGCTTCATAAGCCCTTTAAATCAAAAGCAGTTGCCTGAAGGACTTCTTCGGAACTCGGACTCGGCCACAGCTGCCACTGCACGACTCTTTTGTCACAGCCGGACGTGCCCACACATCGCAGATCTCTCGGTCTTGTGTATACTCGGCTTCAGTATCTGAAGTGTTCGAGCCAAGCTGGCTGTGGATTGAACCCCTGCAGCCCTGCTCCCACATGCTCCCACAATGACACGACGAAGAGCCGCTTTCCGCGGAACTCATTTTCAAAAGCGACGGACCCTTCGGGGCGTAAGCTCTCTCGAACCCTTGCGGCGCTGTTCAGTTGAACGCTTCTACGTCATCATCATCGGATTAAAGCACTGAATAGCGCATCACAGCCGGGTGAGCCAGTGAGACACACAAAATTTGAGGTGAGACCCTGTTCGTCCATTTAAGGAGCTGCATTAATCCCGGGGGGTGCTGCACTGCACAAGCCGGCTGGTGGTTTGAGCAATGCCTTTAATTCTTAAGGCAACAACAACAACATAGAATCAGGGCACCGCATTTGCTCAAACCACGCCGTGCTTGAGGAGAAAGCATGGGCACGCAGGTTCTTCGACTCGTGCATGCTGATCATGCTGTTCAGTTTCGTGTGCGAAGCTAAGCCTGGCACTGTCCCCTTTTCCTGTTGCCACTGTTTTGAGGAAGCTGTGGTGTCAGAATGTAGCAAGGCTGAGGATAGAGAATACGGCTGATTTGCAGTTTGTGACTTTGTCAGGCTTGACGAGATGCGATGCGAAGATGACGTGCGCATAGCAAGTCTCGCAGTCAACATCACGTACGAGTAGAGCAGGGAAGTTCCACCACTCCGGCGCCTCCGGCGCCGACTCCCGACTCCGACGTGTCATGTCTTGGCTGTCTCACCGGTCACCTCAGGCGGCTCCTGGACGTCTCAGACGGAATGGAACCCTAGACCGCGAGGAATTCAGGCAGTCCTCGAGCCAGCAGACGAAGTTGCCGTGCTCCCACTGGGATTTTCGAGAAAGGCCTGCACCAACACAGAGAGTACCACAAATACGAGTACTGTACCTCAAACTACCAAACTCTGCTTTTTTCTAGGTTCTTATTATAAACCGTAATATGGAATTTATAGGGACCCTACAAAGAAGTAGGTTTTGGTAGGGTAAGGCAACACTGCAACCCTGCGCTCGCACATGCGACATGCTGCCTTTCGCGGTCACAGCGATGCCGACGCCATGCTGCCTGCCGCTGTCCCACTGACCTAGCGACAAAGCGTGCAGCGTGCAGCGTGCAGCTAAAAAATGGCGCTGGCTCTGGCGAGGCTCTGCCTGTGTAAGAGCGGCCGTCGGGCCAGGAGAGTTTGCCCTCGCCGTGCTTCTTGCCTTACAGCAGCTACAGCATGCTTCTCATCACACCCTTCGAACATGCGTGGGCCGTGGGGCACCCGGCCATCACGGAACTGGCCCTCGTAGCAGCGCCCGTCCGTCCACTGCATGCTGCCACTGGGTCCCATGTGGTTCCTCAGGATACACTCCTCTCCCTCCTCAAAGGATCCTGTCGCTTTACGGGGGCTCCCGGCCGACGCCACTGGCCGGTGTAGGAGCGCCCATCGCTCCACTGGTACCGGCCCTCCCCGTGCATGTCGTTGGCATCGAAGTCTCCCTAACATAGGCCACTGCTACAACGCCACAGCTACAACGCCCACACGAACCACCACGGCTCAGCAAGAAAAGCTCTTCTTCTCAGGCCTCGTAGCTGCCGCCCGTGTTCCAGGTGAACTTGCCTTTGCCACACTTGTCGCCATTCTTGAATTGGCCCTGCGCAGCATACGAAGATATACGAAGACTCATCAGGTTCCAAAAACGCGAGCGAACCTCGAAGATGCTGCCGTCCACGAGCTTCTCCACCCCATGGCCGTCCTGAACCTCAGCTAACAACACATCTTGGGAAGTGGCCGGGGTGGGGCGAAAAATGATGACGCCTCCATCTTCCACTGGCCCTCATAGGTAGAGCCATTGCTGTAGGTGTACCTTAAGCTCTTCCCATCAAGAAACAAGGCAAGACGAGCCCAAGATGCCCCTCAGACACCGGCTTTCCGGTGCCGTGCTTTCGGTCCGAGTCGAACTGGCCCTCGTACATGGAGCCATCAGCGAAGATGAGCTTGCCCTCGGACGAAATGGCAACATCTTGCGACCAAAGGTACACGCGACTCATCGCGACTCGCCTGGCCGTGCTTGTCCTCACCTCGCCACTGGCCCTCCTGAGCGCAGTCCCGCGGGAGTCCATGCACGGAGCCACATCTCGTCGAAGAGACGCGCGCGAGGGAGGCGCTGAGCGTCCCACGTAGACAGCCCCTCCGCTCAGCGTTTGGCCTCCCGGTGTCTTCTCAGAACCTCGTTTTGCGGGGCATCACCAATCCATCACGTTTTGAGAATCTGCGCAAATCGCCTCCGGCGTCCAGCGGACGTGGAGAGCTGCCCTGGCAAAACTAGCCCCGAACTTCAGTTCCCGAGCCACTGCAGACTGCGACTAGCAGCCTTCGCATCTCCGGGCTCGATATTCAGCGTCGGCGGGGGCCCCCTGAGACTGAGAGTTCTGCTCAGTCTCTAACGATTATCATCTTGCCAGATACCCATCAGCTCCCCTCTCAGATGATTCGAGCTGCTTTTCACAGCCGCATCCAGTGGAGTTGCAGGCACCCATCCTGAAGTCATTTGGCTGAGGACAACCCCAAACCGAGCATGCACGGAAAGGATGTGCCGATGTGCCTTCGGCCGTCTCAGCATCTAGTCATCGCTAGACACCGCTAGGAAGTGAAGATATTCTTGCTTTGCTTGTCCACACAACTGCTGCCAGTTTATGGCTAGCTGTGGGGCTGGGAAACATTCGCATGGAATGACCTGAGCCGAAACCAAACGGTGGGCAGGGCATGGCTTCTCAGACTCAACCACTCGCATCCTGCGAATCGAGCGCAAGCGAGGGCGTGGGCAACATTGCGCGGAGCAGAGTATCATTTATTCGCTAGCACACCACAACAAGCGCCAGGACAAGGCGTTCCCTTGATTTTCTGCTTGATGCTGGAAGTGTGCATCCTCCTGTTGCAATCTTCGAGAAGCAAAAATTGAAAGATGAAGTGCGGCAAATTAAGAGTGACAACATGTTTGAGAAGCTTGACCTGCGTCGCCAACGTGCAAAGAAGAAATTGCAATTGTTTTGTTCGCAGTCTGAGAAAATGTCGACAGGCACCGGGTCATTCCTGGAACCCTCACGTGCAAAAACGGCTATTGTGCTAAATGCTTTATACACATTAATCGTTTGAACGACTGTGGCTCATGTACCGCATGCCTTATACCAGGGATAAATTTTGATCCTCCTCTGTGTGTGCGGGATTTGGCATGATGTTCAACTTGTGTGCGTGTGTGTGTGTGTGTGTGTGCATCCGCCTTTGGAGCTCGAAAAAAACAAACTGCGAAGCCTCTGTCTGAGAAGCGAAAATCTGGGCCCTGCAGTGCAAAGCAAGGTCGATCCGGTCTTTGGGCATTTCGGAACCTTCCCCATTCGTGTCCACGGGAGCGTCCTCCCGCGAACGCTCGGCGCCCACAGCCTTCCCCATCCCGTCAACGCAGTCGGCTGCGCCACCCAGTGAGCGCTCGGCACTCGGCACATAAAGACTTTGGTCTATGTTAAGACAAGTCCTGGTCTTCTGCCCTTGCAACGAGGCAGTTTTTGGCGCGAAGCTCGAGATCGCTTTGGGGCCTAAACAGTCTATGGGAGACTTTGCTCGCGAGGCAGCCGTCTCCGTGATCAGATCCAAGGGCATCCAGTCAAGGATCATGGGCATTATCTCACAAAAGTTGCGGAGAGCTCAGGGGGCGAATGGCCCCCCGAAAATCTCACGAAGGCGGAGGTGCAGGCGCAGGCCTGGCAAAGCAAATCATTGAATTCGGGGCAGCTCCCAGAAAGCCCTGCATGCAACATGCCCGGACCGCGCGGCGGGTGGGGCGACCTTGCACCAAGCGATTCTGCGGCATGCTTTCTAGCTTCAATGTCTTAGCTCATGATGTCTTTGGACTAGAGACGCTTGGTAGGCCCCCTCCCATGTCCACATCCCCGGGGGCCTTGGCCGTCGCGGGTGCCTGCACCAATCACTACATCGCCACAAGCTGGTATGCCCTGACACCCCGGTCACAGGTCACCGCCTTGCCTTGGGCTGCGGTTTCTGACCCACGAACTCCCCGGCAAAGTCCCAGAGCGAAGGGCTTCCACCGCTCCAAGGAGCGACCTGAGAGCTGCAGCAGAGCTGGAGCAGAGGCAGAGCACCCAAAGAGGGGGGAAGTTGGGGCCCGAAGACGACTCTCCCGAATAGGGTTCTACTCTCCCGAATAGACCTTTTAAGGGGTGCTGGGATCGCGCACAATCGAGAGTGCACCCCGGACCATGTCCGCGTCATTCACCTCGCAAGGCGGCGAGCAGGGCACGGCTCAACGCATTCCCCTCTTCTTCACAGTCAGCCTTCGGGGCATCCTTCGGGTCCTTTAGCACAGGGCTCATGTTGAACTCGAAGAGCCACACATCTGAAAGGTCACAGCGGGTCGCTGGGGTTCACGCAGCACGACCACTCGTCTTGCTTTGCGCCATGCTGCCATGCCTCCTCGGGTGTCCACGATGAAGTCCGCCGAGAAGATCTCAAATTGGACCTTGTTCAGCCGGCCTCTGCGAGACACAACAATGCACACACACACACACACACACACACCCGTAAAGAGTGGGGCCGGGCCGGGGGTGTTCTACGTAGTAACTACTTCTACCACAGCCCGCCCGCGGAGGAGTGGTCTTCCCCTTCCTCTCCGGCCTTCGAGCTTGCCGAGGGCCACGGCGCGCTGGATCACCTCGCGGAGGAGGCGGCGAAAGGCGAGTCGGGAGCTGGGAGTCGGGGAGCCGATTCTGCGGCGAGCGGTTTGCGGTTGCGAAGTGCCGACTCGCCGTCTGGCTACCGCCGTCCATAGAGGCAACTGGGTCCCTTCCTCCTCTCGAGATCTCTCGAGTCGACGGCTGGAGCCGGTCTCTTCTTATGCACTGCTCGCAGCTTCCCGAGCCGTTTTGCAAGTTTGCCGGCATTGTCCGATGCTGTAGCCGCCAGCTGATGCTTGCTTCGTCGAGGGCTCTCCATGTCTCGCCCAACCGCGCAGGCGCATTGCAAGGGCCACGGCGGCCACGACATGCGCCATGATCTCCCAGGGCATGGCTATGGCTACAGCGCCTCGGCGACCACGGCCTTGCACTTCGGGTAGGCCTCGGCCCAGGCCTGGCATGGCCCAGAACAGTTCAAAAGCCTGCAAAGCGCCGTCTTTTTGGGTTTTTTTTTGGGGGGGGTTAGGGCTTCTTCTTGTGGTTGCGGATTGGAGGTGCCTATATCTGCTTGAGTCAGCTGTGTTTTGTGACTTTGGGTGTTGAGATGGGTTTGGTGTCTCGGTGGCCTTCCAGCCGCCAATCCGCTCGGTGCGGATGATGGTCACCTTTGTCAAAGCGACGGATGAGAAGCTCAGAAGTGCAGATGGTTCGCAGCTGGTGGATCCCTGAAGGCCTGAGTGTCTTTTGACAGATCAGTGGGCGACCACTTGTTCGGAGAGATGGACAGGTAGCCATCCTGGACAGAAACAACACAGGACTAAGCAACTCGATCAGGGTCCAGGGCTTGGCGGCCTGCCTGAAATGTGTACAGATGCCACCGGACTCCATCTTCGAAGCCCACAAGCAGCACGTAGAACTAACCAGGGGCTATGACGACGGCCCTTGGTCCAGCCAAAAGCCCCAAGCCCTCACCTTGATGTGGCACTTGCGGCCATCATCTGTCAAGAGCGGATCCTCACACCGTGCCAGGTGCCCCATGCTTGCTCCGGGACGAAGAGTCGCGCTCCTTGATGTGCGGTTGAACCACATAGACGCCTTCTGGCCTGCAGGGACGGGACGCAGACAGCAGCTGCAGGTCGGCGGGTTTCTGTCTCAGCTGCCGGCTTCACCAAGCCGAAACAGTCTGAAGGCTTGGCTACGACGTGCACAGAGGTGCCTTGCACACTCTCACCGCAGCGGTGGCCCCTCAAACAGCTCTCTTTGTGGCCCATGCCCCAGTTTCTGTCCGCTTCCTTCACGAACCATGGGACATCAGAGGCCTAGACACCACAAAACCGCGCCATGGAACAAGCGGGTGAGAAAAGAAGGGGACGGACCTCCAAATCTGGCGGCGGGGAGCCTCTAACAAACTCCCTCCGCTTCTGCACGCTGGTGTTCGGATCTCCGCTCTTCCCGCCTCTCCACGCGCCATTCTCGAGAATGTACCTTCCCGTGCCCGCTGTGCCCTGCGCCCACACCCCCAGCACCACAGGGCAAACTGCGACAAACGCACGTCTCCGGCATCTTCCCCGGCGCCAGCTCCAGCACCTGCCGATCACTGCGATCTCTGGCGATTCCCGCAAAGAGGGGCCCTAGGAGGGGCCTTGGTCTTCTCCTCCAGCCACGCCCTGCCTTTGAGGTACCTCCCCGTCAGTGAGAAGTCGCACAAACGAGCGCCCCCGAAAAAAATCTGGGAGCTCACATCGCAATGCGGCTGAAGTGAGACTCGTCGGCAAAGTCCACGAGCTTCTTACCCAGTGGGCAATGATATTCATTGCCCTTCTCGTCCTGCTGCAAGCCACATAAGTCGACACCCACAGAACCCATGTCACTCTCCAGTGTACACTGATATATTGTGGTATACCATAGCAGCATGTTGGCTTGGACCCTGTACGCGACAGCAACCCGTAGTCGAATCATGCAGTACCCTACGCAACCAAACAACATGGAACGATGCCAATGAATGCAACGCATTCTGTCACATCCTACTCTGGACGCGCTCTGACGGCTTGTGTTGTACTAGCTTGTGCAATGCCACCTTCTGAGGCGTAATCGAGCAGCCCACGATAACTTTTCATGGAGGCTTGACTGGTCCTCGAACCATTTCTGATTGGGATAGACTCGCCAATCTGGTCTCTCCAGCAGGTACTCGCAGAACCTGACATCACAACGCTTCCTTGCCCTTGCTCTCTGCCCCCCCCCCCTTCACCGCACCTCTGGCCGTGACCCCCGACCTTGCAGTTCGTGCAGTACCGATACCTGCCAAGCTCCAAGTGCTCGGACGCAGGTTCCCCGCGCGCCCGCCGGCCGTGCCTTTGTTGCAGTGGCCGACCTTCCGCGTCCAGAGGTAGTGCCGCTGCGGGTTGCGAGTCATCCGTGGCTACCATCAGCGATTTGTCATCAATCACCTTTGTAAGCGGGTCCATCATGAAGGAGAGACTTCTTTTGACTTCCCCTGATGCCTCCTTCATGCAGGTCATTTCCTGCCGACTCTTCTCGATCTCGATGTCAGCTTGTGTCAGGTGCTTGTTCACAATCACCTGCTGCACGAGACGCCGATAGTAGAACCTTGAGCCTTACGCTGAAGGAACTGTCCCTTAGCGCCTGTTCTTGCTGCTTTAGCCTTGCTGCCGTTCGCAGATCGCGCACAGCTGCGCGAACACGTCCTGTGGAACCCAGCACGAGCCTAGTTTGACAGGAAACGGCACAGGCCGCATATGCCGAATGTCCTGCAAGGCGCATGACTTTCTGCGTGTCTCCGGCGTCAAGGGTGCTGATGCATCGGGCTGCTTCCAGTGATTCCTCCACCTGCGATCGCAGTCAGGCAGCAGCTACGCAGCAACTAACGCTTCAGCGGCGCTGTGGTTGCCCTGGCCTCGAGCTCACCGAACGACAGCTGCGTTTGCCGCACGCGGAGTCGATTGCGGCCGATCTCCGTCAAGACCTCGGAGACACCAAAAAGAGAGGGCGGGCCCGAGCCCCGAGCAAGCTGAGACCTCCCTCTGCTCCGCCAGCGCAGCATGCTGATCCAGCGCATCCTGAACCGAGAGAAAACAAAGGGCAGAAAGCAAAAAGAGAGCAAAGCAGAGAAGAGCAGCGGCGGAGCAACCTGTATGCTCCAGGATCTCTCGTACCTCTCAGAGGCGTCGAAGTGTGGATTGTTGCAAACTGCACAGAGAGCACTGGACGAAGATGTCCATTGTCGGCACTCCTCTTTGCCTGCACCCACCAGAGAATCCCACCACGTCATGACAAAGCTGCAAGGGCCAGGCTCTCGCCCGGCGGAAGCCCGCGTCTCGTCCTGCGAGAGCTGTCCGGGCTTTTTCTTGATCGTCAGACGAAACACTTCGCGAGGCAGTCCATCGCCAAGGCTTTGGCCGGCGCCAGCGCACGGCCTGCGACACAACCCCGTTTCTCGTGGAAACCGGGCCGGTGGCCCCTAGCCCCCGCGTCGCCTCGTGGGGCGAAGGGAGGCGGCGCACCTGGCGAAGAGTCGGGTGGATTTTCGGCGGTGAATGCACGGAGCCGAGCCTCCCATGGCTTTGGCCTCGTGAGGCTTTGTGAACCGGAGAAGCGAAACGGGACAAAGGTCCGGGGCTCCGGGCATTCTGCCCTGCCATCCAGGACCCCACACCTCACACAAGACAGTGGCCTCTTTGAGAGCTTCGTTCAGCTTAGCAACTCCCGGGCCCGGCCCCCCACCTGCCCTCAAGCGGCAGTCGCATATCGAGAGCCGACATGCTCCCAGACACACATGACATATCTCCCGCCGCCACGGAAAGGTCGCACTGGCAGAGTCTGAGTCTCACAGTCGGCTTTTGGAATCCGGGCCGGCCGAGAGCTGAGTCCTGAGGCGGCCGGTCTTCGGCCACAAAAAGAGGGGTGTCAGCCGTCGTCGTACAGCCTTTCATACCACACAGCTATCTCAGGGTACACCTGATCGTCATCGTAAACGATAAACTCTCGGAAGGTTCCGCGGCATTTCTCGCGATCTCCCAGCAGACTGTGGTAATTGCCGTGGAGGCACTGCCTAACCAAACTGTCAACGTTTGGTGCGACCTCATCACAATACAGTACATTTCCCAGGACAGCGCGGCAGATCAGCATGCAGCGAAGTCCCTCTGAATTCTCTTTCGAGTACTCGTCGGACTTACTACAGCTCTCTGCCATGTAGATACCTCTTCCGTAGAGGGTGCCTGCGTTGGATCCTGCTTTATCAACCAAGAAATCGCCCCTGGTAATCAGCGCCGCTGCCTCATCGTTGGTGCCATGAAAGAGCCAGACTGTGTTGGTCAATGGGTCAGAGCCTTCACTGTGAAGTTCCATCGAGGAGGTCTTCAGGTTATCGATGCTGTTGTTCACATGACCTATGTGCCTCTGAAAGCACAAATCGCACAAGTCGAAGTCGCACTCCCAGCAGCCTTGGACCACTAGAGTCTTCACTGGAGATCAGATCTCAGATTCACATGCCCGTTCTTACCGAGTCTCGGTATCGATTGATGCCTTTGGTCTTGTTCTCCCGCATGCATCCGATGCTCATGCGAGAGTTGTCGCAATTCCACCCGTTGTCCCTGGTCGTGCCTTGTCACTGGCCCATGAAAAACAGACATTGAGGCACACCCACGCAGACGAAGCGCTCTAAGACTCTCAGAGCAACTACATGAGTTGCCAGCCAGGAGGCCCAGCGGTACGAGCGGATGCCTGCATCGCTCACTTGCTGCGGCGGCAGCCGAAACGTGCTGACGCGTTTGCAAGACTAGCAAGACTTCCCTGTGAGCCACCTGAACACCAAGGCAAGTCACCCTTTTAGGCACAGCTTTGCGCCCGTTCGCAGGAGGTAGCACTTCTCACAGTAGTCGAAGTCGCAGCGCTCACATCGGAAGCCTTAACCGAGCGAGACATGAGATGAGATCAAGACAAAGGTATACGAGTGAGACTAGGCCAGGCATTTTCCTTGTCTCAGATTGGAACGATTCATGCCCTTCGTCTGACGAAAGCCGGTGATTCTGCTGGCACACCCGGCTTCCTCGTCCCGGCCGTCGCAGGCCCAGCCATTATCTTTGCTTGTTCCCAAAGGGCTGAGCTCATGGCCTCAGCGCCCAGTACAGTGCCAGACGTGCCAGATGCCGCCACCCCGAATTGCGGATTGCTTAGAGAGAGACAGAGGCAGATAGAGACAGACAGACAGACAGAGAGAGTGTGTGTGTGTGTGTGTGCGTTCGTCTCAGAGCCTCAGGGAGAGTTCATCAGGGTCTCTCTAAAGGATCGCGCTCTCTCCGACTGGTCTCGGCTCCGAAACTCGGCTCCGGGCCGTTCCTGCAGACGCCCTTGTTCCCCGTCTCTTTCAATTTGTCAATCTGCTCGCGGATGGAGCTCTGCTTCCGCACAAACTCCGTCCAGTTCTGGAGATTCTGAATCCGGTAGGCGCACTTCACAAGCAGCTTGTCAGGCACCTCTGCAGGCCACAGGCACACCATGCTCGCATATGCTCGCTCTCCGCTTCATGCTCACAAAACCCATCGCCACCTTGGTGCCTTTGCGGTCCCGGGTGTAGACCTTTCAATTCTAGAGGGAGAAACGATTGCGCGAAACCACGGAAAGGAACCAACGTTGTAGTTGCCTTCTTGTGAGATGCGTCGAAGATTTGCCTGACTGCAGGCTGTTGCGGATTGGCGGCCAAAGGCAGAAGCGGCCGAAAGCCTTTGCAGATCCAAGATGCTGAATGGAAGCCAGCTCGCTTTCGGTCAGTTCCACTTTGCCGAACTTGTTCAAGACATTCTCTTCCTCCGGTGCAAGGCCCTTTAGCATTTCGATGTCCTTCATCACCTTCATGTCCCAGTAGCCTGGCTCCAAAGGACAAGAACCGAAGAGCAGCAACAACCGCAATCCGGGCGGGCCTGGAATGAGTTCCGAATTCACGGTCATCGGCTTGGCGGCTGGACCGCGGTCAGCCACAGGACGGGCTTCGTAGCACCGGTCGCAAAGGTCGAAGTCGCAGACCTACACTCAGTCAGCTGGGCTCCTTGACTCCTCGGTCCTAGGTCCCAAATGGTCCCAACAGCCACTGTGCACAACGGCCTCACAGCGGAAGCGGTGGATGCCCTTCGTCTGCCGAAATCCAGTGATCCCACGTTTGCAGCCACCTGGCTGACTCCGCCCATCGCAGCCCCAGCCATTGTCCCTGCAGGCATTCAGCACAGGATAGCACAGGGCATGGGCACACGTGTGGACGAGATTGGAGAAGCGCTAGTTCAACAGAGCCCGGATCCCGAGGCCAGTTCCTGTTCCTGTGTCTGTTCCTGCCAGTTGCACGTCTCAAGGCTAGGAGAACCAGCCAGTTGAAGCGGCCAGACAGCGGCACGTGGCACGTGGAAGAAGTTCCTTCTGCTTGGGGACCGACGAAGCAACCCCTCGTCCAAGGCCCATGGTGCTTGCTAAGGCTTAAGGCAGTTTCCTCTACAAGCTCACGCATCTGACTAGGCAGCTGGCTAAGGACACACTGCACCGCCGGGAGCAAGAGAAGGAGACAGACAGAGAGGGAGGAAGAGAGAGAGAGAGAGAGTGGAGAAAGCCACAGAGAAAGAGAGACAGAGACAGACAAGCAGCCAGACAGACGGACAGACATGCGCAGACATGAACCGACGGACCGGAGGACGGACGGACAAGAATGCACAAAAATATATAGGCCTTGCCAAGCCCAGCAATGTCATGGGGTGGCCACGATCGCAGGGCTTTGCCAACGACGTCTCATAACACCGTTCGCACAAGTCGTAATCCTTGACAGGCTGCGTTCCTCGTTAATTACTGCACTTACGATATTTATGCGACGAGAACCCTAACAAACAAATCTACAAAAATGTAATCATCAAATGTGCCTGAGGAACACACTGTTCACAGCGGAAGCGATTCAGGGTTTTGGTACATTCAAATCCTCGCGCAATGCTCTTGCAGCCACCTTCGTTCTCTCCATCGCAATGCCAGCCGGGCTTGGTTGCGCGTCTTCTAGGGCGAAACACTCTAAAACCGTGCCTTCTTCCAAAATGCTGATCACTTTAGCGCAAATGTCTTGACATCCTGTCACAACTGATCATAACAATTATAAGTGCCAAAGGAAAAACAATGCCGTTCGAAGTTCGAAGTGTCTCGGGATGTGCCGAGCGGGGCCAGAACATGACCCTTCGGACAGCGCCTGCTGTTCAGGCGTTCCAGATAGCACTCCTCGCAGAGATCGTAGTCCTGGGGGGGGGGGGGGCAGCAATTTCTCAATGTACCCGGCTACACCGTGCGTCTTACCGACATGCCCTTGAAAGCCATTTCAAAACCCGGTGGTCACAGGTCTTGCAGCGGAAGCGCTTCATTCCTGGCGGGGTGCTGAATGAAGCCACAGTATCGGCAGTCACGGGCTGTCTCCTACTTCCAGCCCCGTGTGAGGTGGTTTGGTCCGGGCCTTGTGATTGGTTGAAGCCGGTGAGGCCACTGCGACAGCCTCCGGGGGCCTTGCTACCGTCGCAGCCCCAGCCATTGTCCATGGTCAGCCCCATACTCTCCAGGAAATGATTCTGGAGACATGCCATCCGATACCATGCTGTGGCACCTTGAGGCTACTGGCAGAGACCTGCTAGAACCCACGCATTGTGCCCATCTGCATGCAACGGGTCAAACCCTGCTGATGACATGATCACAGCGTCGGGCATAACTCACCGTTCTGCACGTAGTTTTCTACTGGATATAAAGTGCGGTTTAACTAAGCCCCTTAGAAGGGCCAGAGCCACGGCAACTTCAAAAGCCGCGGACTACAACGCACCGATCTGGCGGCACTCCGAAGTTAACTACGACGCAGTTGCGCCGGGAAAAGCGGACTGGATGTGTCCAGGCCGATGAAGCCTTCGGGTGTCGACGCTGAAACTCACGACTCGTAGTCTAGACGTTAAGTGTCGAATCCGTATACATGGCGTGGAGTACGATGCAAAAACGACCATGCTTCTGTAGGATTGTGTACTGTACTTGCATATAGGTCCGGATCACAGGACGTAGTTTCGGTGGCCTGCGTCATTTGAGTCAAGACTGGCTCCTCTCTGTAGTTTGGAACCTGCTCGAGGCTCTATAGGTCCGCTTCCGAGGGGCCGTTGAGCAGTTGGTCGGCCAAGCACCGAACAGTTGGAGGATGCTGCCCTCCCGGCATAAAGTTTCAAAAAAGAGTTCATGTTGGGTGAAAAGGCGCTACAGGAAAGAGCTGCCTGTAAACATCAGGTTGCTTGCGTCACCTTTGCCGGTGAAGTGACGGAGATGAAGCCCGGGTGACGTTGGGGTGGTTTGCCGGGTCGGGCCCGGGCTGCTGCTGCGATCCAGCCCGCGACGCTGAGAGACTACATGCTTGATTCTCCCCGGGCCCTTCCTGGACTTGGTGTCCTGAAGAGCAGAACGAAAAAACCCTAGACCCTAAACCCTAAACCCTAAGCTGAAGCTCTTTCTCCGGCACAGCAGAAGCAAAATACGCCCCTTCTTCATGCTCCGGGTCCCGTCCCGTCCTTCGAGGCACTAGGCCGGTCCTCTGGCGCAAAGCAGGTGTAGATCGAGGAGCGTGGACTCCGAGGCGTCTCCCTCAGCTCCTGGCGAGCGCGATTAAAAGATCGAAGCCTCCCGCTTGTCCCGGTTTTGCGAGCCGGAGGGGTCCTCTTCCTGTTGAAAAGTGATGGGGTGCGTTGCCGCTCGACCTGCCTTCCGCCGAAGCTCGCCGAGATCGTCCTCGAGCCCAAAACCATCGATGCTCGGCTTGCGAGGCACGGGTATTTCACCGATCTTTCCTTGCATGGCACCTGATTCTCTTTCCGGCTACCAGGCCCCTGCCATTTCGAGCCAGGCTGCGTGCCGCCCTGGCCCTGGCCTTCATCAGCTTTCGGCTTGCAAGAGGGGCGAGTGACTCAGAGACATACGAAAAAACTGGGAGCAGGCCGACTCAGCTCGACTCCTTTTTGAAGCGCTAGCAGAGTTCTCACTCCAGCAGATCGGGGCGGCGACGCAGCAGCTCCACCTCGAAAGGAGCTGAGAGACGACACGAGGCTGCTGAAACACCGAGGCCGGGCGCGGCCCGGTGGATGGGCCGCCGTGGCGTAAGGCCCGGACCAAGGCTCGCAGGCCATAGCGTCGGCCCAGGAACTTGGGGACCGACACCTCTTTTTGTAAGTAGTGTGTGGGTTGCTTCACGAATCGATGTTGCTCTGAGACGACTTATTCTGTTCTGTTCTGAGACTTTTCTTTCTCTTTCCGCTGAGCCTCCAGGTCGCAGGCTTGCAAGAGGAGCAGCAGTTCCAGGAGCTCCTCGTCCTCGGGATCCTCGGCCGTCCTCCGCTCTGCGCCGCTCTCTTTGGTCTCTAGCTGCTACGAATAAGACGCTCTCTAAAAGACTCGAAGATCGCCGTCCAGCTGGAGACCACGATGCCGTTGTCCGGGCACAGAGCCAAGGAGACGGGGGAGTTGTCCACCAGCAAACACCGATCCATCCGCCGGCCCATGCGCCGGAGATCCTGCGCGTGCGCGTTCCCGCAAATATACCAGCATCGTATCATAATAAACGCATATACTACCGTGTGTTGCAGCGCCTATACTCACCACTGGTCGGCCTTCAGGAAAGCCCCCGAGCGCTCCGCGCAGTGCGGCCCTGGAGAGGCAAGGGAGAAGAGAGGGGCGTAGGAGAGGAGAGACAGCAAAGCGCAAGGCTCTTCGTCGCATCCGCTTAAGCTGAGCTGCGGTAGAGGCGGGTGGAGATGCACCGACGACCGGGATCTAGCTGGTCCAGCACCTAACGTAACCCGAACGGTTTGAGGGGCAATATGCTTCAACTCACGGGAGAACCTGGTCGGCGTAAGACTTCGAGGAAGCGGTGAACACCACCACCTTTGGCAGGAGATCGACAAACATGAAGCATCAGTCGCAGCCGCATGCTGCGGGTGCCGCAATCGACCTTAATATGCTGGTCCTTGAACGTAAGACTTAAGACGTACTGTAAGGCACTCTGTAAGGCTTGTGAGGCGCAGCGACCGCACACAGACTCCGCAGGCTTTGCTAGTCGCGTTCTTTGCTTCCGAAGTCTTGGGGTTTCATCGTGCCCGCCTTCCCAAGTCACAAACTGCACTCCCCTGCGGCCCAGGGCGGCAAGCCGAGTTTCCAATTAACTCTCAACCGCAGATTCTACCCACGCATAGGGGTACCTTATTTGGGGGTCCTTCTTTTTAAGGATCCTACTATTTAGGGTGCTATATTAGGGTCCCCTATTCTCGGAAACTCCCATATCCTTCGAGGCCTCGAAGAGCCGTGCGGCAGCCTCCAAGAAGAGCCGCGCATGCGGCCGCACGTAGACGTAGCCGGTGGCCTCTTTGCGGTTTAGGGTTTGGGGTTTAGGGGCGAGGCGAGGGAGTCCGAGGAGGAGAGCCAAGAATGGCCCCCAAAACCCACCTTGGATTCCTCGAACTGCACGGAGAAGTCTGGCCTGCTCCGATCATTGATGGTTTCTGCCGTAGGGCGGGGGCGTACAAGGCCAGGTCAGGGCCCCCTACGGTCAATGTGTTTAGGCAGGCTTCGACGCAGCACGTTTCAAGTCTGATGCCTCAGTAATTAGCTGAGCTGGTTCCAAGCTCCTCGTAGAGTCGGCTTACTGCTTATGCAGGGACATTCCGGAGTGCAACAAGGTTGGTCCAGGTACCACGACAAGGGTGTATCTGTATGTGGGCCAGTGTAATGCAGAAGACTGCTGGCATCTTCCAGGTTTCAAGGTTTCAAGCTTCATGTCAACACATATGTGTTTCCATCCGCGCTGCTGAGCATGCACGCAGCAACGACCGAGCTGTACCGACTCTGCTTTTTGTGTTTGCCCCCAGCTTTGGTGGCCTGCTTCTCAAGTTGCGGTAGCCAGAAACAGCTCATTGCCCTCATGACCTTGCTGCCTCTGAAATCAATCATTTGCGTGGTGCGGGTGCCTTCCCCCGAGACTTCCCCTCCCCCCAACATAACTTCTTTCTATTACAAACTATTATGGAAGGACCAGATAAGATCCTAGACACGGTTTTGACCAGCGTCACTCACGACAACTCCTGCAAGATCTGCGCAGCTTTCGTGATCACTTCCTCCTTGAGTCAAGGAGCGGAAGGTTCTGGAGGGGCTCCAGGCGGCAGTGCGAAAGTGTCTCGTCCAGATCCTGAGACGGGCCCAGCAGGGGATGCAAGCCCAAGCGGGACTCGCGTGGATGCGGGAAGCCGAGGTGCTAAGACCACGGTCAGGCGCGGCGTGGTCTCGCCGGAATCCAGGCACTCCTGCAATTTACAGCCATGCAGAAAAGAGGAACTGCCTCGAGGCGCAACGTCTCCGGCCGCGGCAGGAGCGCTGGGCCCTACCAGAACACAAAACGAAAACGCAGCTCCGCAGTTGGCGCCTTCCACTATCCTGCCATGCCTCGGGAACAGGACCAGGATCCGCGCACTCGTACCTGAAAACACGTCAACAGAGTTAAAAGAGCCCCCGATTCATACGGGTTCGGGTTCGAGCAGCGGACGCAAGGAAGCGCAGGGCCGCACGCAGGCTCTCCTCAAGGCCACATAACGCCAGGACCCACCGCCCCCCGTTTTTTGTGTTTGGGGCCCCCGACGTCCAGCTCGGAGAACGCCGGAGGCTCCTCTCTGGGATGTGCCATCGTGACGCCCATCACTGGCCGGGGTCGGGCCGGCCTGGGCGAAAGCAGCCCGAAAGGCAAGGCAAGGAGGGCCAAGGACGTAATCAGAGCAGCGAAAGCCAGGCTTCAGACCGATCCATCCACGAATCTCTTGGATCCGGAATCGCTCTCCCGGGATGTACCATCGCCGCCATTGAGTTACATGCACGAATTCCTGTAAGATTTGTGCTCGCGACTCCACCAGATTGATGATGCCTGCGTTTGGCGTGATCCAACGTTGCGCCTGACCGCGAGGCTCTGCAGCCTTGTCTCATCAGTGCAGGAGGTGAACAAATCCTCCAATTCGGGTCAATCTGCATGTCTCGATGCACTCTAAAGTCATATGATGCTTTCATGCTCGTCTCGGCTCTTGTCACCACGCCCTGCAAACCTGAACAGAGAATCCATAGCAATGCTTGCCAAGTCGGACCTGCAGCCGAAGGGCTCGATTGCGCTTTGTCCCGCTAGCCGGCTGGGAGGTTCTGTGGGCCATGCCCGGGGTACTTGTGGGCTGCAGCCGCAGAAGTTGAAAGTCGAGGATTCGGATTCTGTACATGTCGAATTCGACGACAAAACTGTTAACATCGAAGCTGTGACTCGATGTCCTTGAGGCCCGCCAAAATTTACACTTCTAGATTCTAGATCACAAGACTCTACAGCTCGTCATGGGCTTCGTCCTCCTCACCTGGGCTACCTGTGCCCGCTCCATAGTATCTAGAGACGATGGGAGCGCAAAGATCTTCGATCTCCTTCTGCTTCATCTGTATCTCCTCCGTAGTTGCTGTTGGGTTGGAGTCCAACCAATCTTGGCC